CTAGAATAAAACACAGGAGAAAATTTACGTGACTTGAAGTTAGGCAAAGATTAAAAAAAACAAAACAAAAACACAAAGAGCCCTAACCATAAAAAAATACACTGGATTTCATTAAACATAAAACTTCTGCTCTTTAGAAAACATCATTAAAAAGGCAAGCCACAGGCTGGAAGAAAATATTCCCAATACACATATCCGAAGAAAGATTTGTGCCTAGGAAAATGGAAAAGCTCATATTCTCTACCCTCATCTCTTCCTCTCCCCCCACCCCACCACACCCAACATAAAAATACAAAAATCCCACTCACAAATGAGCGGGAGGAAGGTATGCACCTACAAGTATGGAGGAGTGAAAAAAATTACTTGTAAATAAATTACAGATAATGGGAGCCCAGTTTCTCACTATCAGAAAAAGATACTACAAATAAAGTGAATGCGGAGGCTAGAATGAACCCTGTGGTTTTAAAGTTGAATAAATTCATATGAACTCATGTTTATTTTAATATATATAGATACTTCTCCATATCAGAGAGCCCAGAAGCAGTTACGACCCAGTAGCAACAAGCACACCCAGTCCCCAGGCCTCGTCTCTAAAGACTGTTTTCCAGTGAAAGGGACAGGACTGCTAGAAGAAAAGGCCAATTCTAGGGCTGATGGGAAAAACACCAGAAGAGCCTAGATCACATAATGCCCGAAGTTAAGGAAGTGCTTTAAAAAAACAAACAAAAAAGGGATGAAAGCATGTCAAAAGGACACAGAAATCAACTTGAAAGAGCTCTCAATGGCATGAGTTGAGCAAGAAAAGAAAAAACACAGTACTGGATTATAAACTGAAGTAGAAAATAAATATACACAAGTCCACACTGATAAACAAATGATTGAATAGATAAAAGGCAGGAGAAGGGGAGAAAAGGCAAATCTTCCTCACAAAGAACTTAAAAAATATAGATCCAGGAGCTTAAGTCCCCTCTTCTTGAGTATAGGGTGGACTTAGCATCCTGCTTTCAAAAAACTGAGTATGGGAAGGGAATTTTATAGTAGTAACCTGAAAGACACTATGCTAACCAAGAGATCAGGCTAATATAAACAGTGATTTGTCATGGTAATTTAATAAAAGGAAAGAATGAGAAGCTTTCGTAGATCTCAAAAGCCTAGGAAGACATGATGTCCAAATCCAGTGTGGTATCCTGGAGTGGAACAAAAAAAGGACATTAGAACCTAGTCTAACCATGACAAAACATCAGACAAAACCCAACGGCAGGATATCCTATGAGACACCAGACAAGTAATCCTCAAAACTATCAAAGTCACTGAAAACAAAGAAAGAAGTTTTCACTACCAAGGAGAGTCTAAGGAAGCATGGCCCTAACTGTAGTGTGGTTTCCTGCATGGCATCCTAGAAGAGAAAAGGAATATTAGGTAAAAGTTAAGGAAATCTGAATAAAGGATGAACCTTAGTTACTGTATTTTTCAGACTATAAAACACAACCCCCCAAATCTGGGAGGAAAGGGCATGCGTCTTGTAGCCCCAATGTAGTGTGCCTGGCTCTCGGGGCGGGGGTTGGGGGGGGGAGCAGGGTCACAGGTTATTAAATATTTTACCACATTTTTTGCTTCAAAACGTTTTTCTCCTATTTTCCTTCTCTAAAACCTAGGTGCACCTTATGGTCAGGTGCGTCTTGTAGTCCTAAAAATATGGTAATAACTTATCAATACAGCTTCATTAACTGTGGAAAAATATACCACGTAAGATGTTAATAACAGAGAAATTGGGTATGGGGTATATGGGGTAACTCTCTGTACTATCTTTGTAATAATTCTATATCTAAAACTATTAGAAAATAAAAAAAATATATATATTTTTAAAAAGACATTAGTGGACACATTGGGGAGACCTGAAAAAAGCCTGTAGTTAAAAATGTGTCCATGTTGACTTCTTAATGTAACGATGTACATGTCACATGTGCCACATCACAGGTAAGAGGCTCGCATTAGGGGAAACTGGATAAAAGGTACATGGGAGTGCCCAACTCTCTTTGCAAGTTTTCTGTAAATCTAAATAAAGAGTTTAGTTTTTAATAGGCAAAAATAATTTTATTATTAAATTAAAATACTTAAACCTACGAATAAAGATATGAGAAGTGTTCATCATAGCAATGTAATTATAAACAAAACTAAGAAAACACTGCATACCCATTTAAAATTGAAAAGACTGACCTCTTACATGAAACAGACAAATCCTTGAAAGGCATACCAGTAAACTACCAAGGTTCGCTCAAGAAGAAGATTACTTCAATAACCCTGCTAGTATAGAACTGAATACCTACTTCAAAATCCATGACAACAACTCCAGAAACAGATGGATTTTGGTAAATTCCACCAAATATTTAATAATAATTCTAATTTTGTACATATTCTTCCAGAAAATAGAAGAGGGAATCTTTCCCAACTACTAGATGTGGCCAAGATTATCCTGACAACAAAAGCAGACAGAGATTACAAGAAAGCAAAATGACAGACCAATATTCCTCATGAATATACTAGACGTAAAAATCTCTTAAAAAGTTTTTAGCAAATTAAATCTAGTAATATATGTAAAAAGAATAATTCATCAAGAGGGGCTTTCCCCAAGAATGTGAAGATGGATTAACCTTCAAAGACCAAAGATTTTAAAAAAGAACATATACACACAATATCTCAACAGATACAGGGAAGATACATTACAAAATCCAAAATATATATGCAAAATTTCAAAATGACAACAGCAGAAATTGCATAAGAAACATAATTAAATGCCCCCTCAAAATGTTGGATATTGATGGAATGTGAGAAGATGCAGAGTCTTTGAAAGCTATCTTCAAGTACGAACCCAATTTCTTAGAGATCTGATTTCTTTCAGCATCATATATGCCTTCTAACTGTATTGACTTATGCTAAATTAAAATTAGCACTTATACATTGAAAATGCTTGGAATGGAGTATGATGACCTTGGGCCAATTTGGAAAGGAAATGAGGAAATAAAAGATAATACTGAAAGTTTCTGATTTGCTACCGGCAAATCTTTAAGTAGATCCTTAACAAGTACATGGCATCACTCCTTGAAAGGAGACATGTAAACCAAAATATTATGGGAAAATTATTTTTCTCCAGGTCTCATTTTTCCTATCCTTCTGTAAGAGAACAAAATGCAACAAGTATTTATTGAGCACCTACTATGCATCAGACACTTTTTTAGACACCGGGGAATACACCAGTGGGGAAAGAAAAAAACAAACAAAACTCCCTCCCTTCACAGTTTACAGACAAAATATATGTAAGATATACAGCATGTTTAAAGAGAATAAATACTATGGAGATAAATAAAGCAGAGAGGCAGGCAGAATGTACTGAGAGGGGTGTGGTTTTAAGTGGGCTTGTAAGGGGACTAGATGATTTCTAGGTTCACTTTCAGTTCAAACAGCCAACGATTTCCTTCTAGGCTGATTAGCAGCATAAAAACACACAGTGAACCTCTGAACTTGACCTCTTTAAACTCACATATTCTATCACCTTGTTCTGTATGTCACCACTTATATTCTAGAAAAATAGGATTAAACATACATTTTTCCATACTGAGACAAAGCATATGCGGTTATTTAATGAAATAAGTAATTTCCCAGTCTTGCCTTGGGGGAAGAAAATAAGAAAAATAAAACCTAGCAATTTCTCCCCAGACAAAGGTTCTAAAAATGTGGCATTTTTGCATGATATAGAAAGAATGAAAATTAGCTGTTTTTCCTCCCCCTCCAATATATTTGTGGTCTGGAATCTCTTCCTTTATTGGGCCTAAGTTACAACAAGAGGTGGTTTAATAGCGTCTCCAAAATAAAAGATTTGCCATAGGCAAGAAAAGTCATATAAATAATAAGTATTACTACTATAGCTATTGCAGCTACAATATTTTGTATGCCTGCTATGTGCCAGGTACAGAACAAGATATTTTATGTATTAGGCTGAACTATATGAAACTGTCATTTATAGGTCAGTATCAGCAATTATATATAGTTTAAATAGGTTTTCATTTATTAATTTCAAATTCCATGAGAGAGAAGTCTGTACAGGTTAATTACGTTGCTGCAGTTCTATAGCTCATCTAAATTATTATCTTGGGCAAAACTTCAAGGTAACATGAAATTTCTGCTTGGGTAATGACATATGGCCCTCTGCCAAGTTGGCAGTGCTAAAAATGACAACTGGAAGATACTGCCTATCTATAATAATGAGTTTGTGCAAACAAATAACTTCTAAAAATTTTTAGTTAGGGCTTCATTTAAGATTTAAATTTTATTTTAAGTATTATAATTCGAGCACTAATTTCATCAAAAGCTATTCATAGCTATGTGGCTCAATGTATTAGTTATAACCACTATCCTACTTACAAAGACAGAATCTTCATTCCAAAAGAAATACTGTTTTTCTCCACTAGAAAGAATAACCAAAAATTATACTAATGTCTTAAATCTGTTTATTTGGAATGGAATTTCTATTTCTTTGGAAATACCTCATTAAAAGAATCTCTCAAAAGAGAATTGTCTATAAACCAGCTTAATAAATTCAATCCAAATAATTTTAAATTCATCTTTTAATAGTAGGTAAGTCCCTAAAGATTTTTCCTTCTTCTGGCAGCTATTTTTCATTCACTGTACAGTTCATGTGTAGAGTTCACATTTATAAGACATTAATAAAATAGCTTTTAATTATCTTCTAAGTAATTCTATGTAATCTAAAGTGTCATCTAGCAGAAAGAGGCAGGCACTTTGTACATTACATTAGTAGCAGATGTGAAAGTTTATTTCCAACACTTAAATGCCAACAGAAGTCTCAGTGAAGCATTAAGAAAAAAAAAAACAAGAAAACTACCTAAAGTGTTTTTTTTGGGGGGTAAGAAATTAATATAAGAAGAGTATGATGATTATATTAGAAATCAAGGAGTTTATACAGATAATATATAAGAACCTACCAGCTCATTGCTTGTAGATGTGAGTCTTAGTTTTTCTTCAATTTCCTTTCCAATTTTCTGAACAGTTACCTGAGTCTGTTTAATTGCACACTGGGCTCTATGAAGCCTAGAAATAAAAGATGTAGAAAAATTTAAGTAATTAACTTTCAACACTGAAGCACAGATATAACTGGAGGACAAATCTTCCAGGATAAACAGAATTAATAATGAACCCAAATTGATTGTTTCACAATTTTCTAGCATATTTACAATGAAACACAATATGCTCTGAAAGCGCCCGTTCTACACCTGCCTGACTGCCTCTGACACATTGAGAGCTAAAATGAAGAACTCATAGGAGCCTGGAAGAGACATCAGAAAATCATCTAGTCAAATCCTATCATTTTACAGATGCAGAAACTAAGGCCCAAGAGAAGTTAAATGGATTGCTAAAATCGCCAAGAGAACATGAATGCTATCAAGACTTAATATTACTTATGAGTATTGATAAAAATTTAATAATCTCAATTAAGAAGACTGATTTAAAGCACCAGCCAGGATGAAACAAGCGGCATTAAAAACGATTGAGCTATTTTCTTTTTTGGTTTAATTATAGGTTTGTGTTTTTCTTGGTCTCTGTCCTCCAATATAGTGTGTGTGTGTGTTTCTTATACACTTACATATTAAAAATGGTCAAACTGTCTTTATTTGCAGATGACATGATTTTCATGTAGGAAATCACTGGGAACCTACAAAACGACTACTATGACTAAAAGTCAGAGGACACAGGTGAACACACGAACTTCAGGGTATTTTGGTGTACGGGCCAGCGATTTTGCAGCCACAATCACAATCCTTTTGGATGGAAATAAAGAAGAAGCTGATATAATAATTCATACAGGAAAAACGTATCTAAAAGAGATAAACCAATCTTGTAATCTGCCAGATTTCAAGGCTTATTTTAAAATATATATTTATTGATTTTAGAGAGAAAGGAAGGAGTGGGGAGAGAGAGAAAGAGAAACAAACATTGATGCGAGAGGAAAAAAATCAGCTGGTTGCCTCCCGTATGCACCCCGGCTGGGGATCTAAAACACAACCTAGCTATGTGCCCTGACCAAGAATCGAACCTTCAGCCTTTTAGTATACAAGATGATAGGCCAACCGAGCCACACTGGCCAGGGCTCACGGCTTTCGTTTTTATAAAGCTACATAATCAAAACAATATGGTACTGGCATAAAGATAAAAAAATAGATCAACGGAACAGAATAAAGAGTATATGTATAGACACCTACACATAGATGACTGACTGATTTTACACAAAGGACCTGGGCAAATTAACAGAGAATGTAAAGTTTTTAACATAAATGATGCTGGGACACTGGATAAACATTGAGAAAAATGAATCTCATTCCCTACCTCACAACATACACAAAACAATTAATCGAAAAAGATCATAGTAAACATAAAAGCTAAAAATCATAAAACTTCCAGAAGAATACATGGGAAAATCTCTTGAAACCTTGGGTCAGGCAAAAATTTCTTAGAGAAGACACGAAAAGCACTAACCATAAAATTTTCAATGGATAAATTGGACTTTATCAAAATAAAAAAAAAATGTCTGTTCATTTCAAGATGCCATTAAGTAAATGTAAAAGCAGCCCAAAGACTGGAAGAAAGTATTTGCAAAACATCGACTGACAAAGAACTGTCTTTGGAGTATTTAAAGAACTCTTACAAACCAGTAACAAAAAGACAACCTAACTAAAAAGGAGCAAAAGTATGAAATACTTAACAAAAGAAGATATAAGAATGGCAAATAAACATAGGAAAAGATGTTCAACATCTTAGTCACCATGGAAATGCAAACTAAAATCATAATGAAATACCATTTCACACCTGTTAGGACAGCTAAAATTAAAATGACAACACTCCATGGGAGCAAGGACAGGGATGAACTGGGACTTGTATGCAGCACTATCATTTTGAAAACTGTTCCTTAGAGAATTAAACATACATCTAACATATGACCCAGAATTTCTACTCTTAAGTATTCATTCAAGACATATAAAAACATATGTCCACAGGAGGGTTAGTGTAAGAATGTTCATAGAGAACAACCCAAATGCCCAGCGAACAGGAGAATTAATAAACAAATTGTGATATATAATGAAATTCTACTCAGCAATAAAAGAACACACCACTGACACAACAATATAAATGAATCTCAAAAACATTATGTTGAGTGAAAAGAGCCAGAAACAAAAAAGCACATACTGTATGATTCCATGCACACACAGTTCATGAACAGGTAAAAGCGATCTCGGGGGACAGAAACCAAGAGCTGCTGGCTGCCCGTGTGGGGTGGGAGCGACCAGCGAAGGGCAGGCAGAGCGAAGGGATGATCTGAGGTGAGGGACACATTCTGCATCTTGACCAGGGCAAGGGGTCCATAGGTCTACATGGAATTTAAACTTAAGAGCTACTCCTTCCACTATATGTAAATTTCACCTCAGTTTTTAAAAACTGGTCAACAATTCTAACCTGAAAGTTATCCAATATATGAGGAGGTTAATGTTACTAGGGATTTGATGGCATCGATACCTCTGCCAACATTATTATTATTATTATTATTATTATTACTACTACACTATACATGAAAAATATTCATGATATATTATGCACTTTTGGAAGTTGCTGGCAGTTATTAAGGATTTCTTAGGTCATCTCAAAGGGAGCAGCTCTCATTATAGCTAATTCGCTCATGAGATGAGTTATTCAGCGACTTCCTCAAGGCTCCTAAGGAATCCAATAGAATCATCCCACTACCTCTTGCTCTGGGTGTGTATATGCACACTTTTGAGAGTAATACTCTCTTAGAAAGGTGGCTCTAAAGAAATTTAAAAGCAAGGAAAAGCCCTTTGCGATGTGCTCCCAGCACACTGCAGCCCTTTTTCTCGATGCCCTTATCTTGCCCACTGCACTCCAGCAGTACTGGAGTACTGACAGCTCCCCCCACACATCACGCCATTCCTTGCTCCTGCACCCTTCGAGCGAGCTGTCCTATCTCCCTCCAGGCTTCCCCTGGCTGTTAAACAGATAAGTACACTCATGATCCATTAAGAGGCAGCTCAAGCATAACCTCTTTTTCAAAGGCCTTTACAGACTATTCCAGACATGTGGAGGCACTCCTTCTCCTGGAATTCCATGGCATCATGTATACAGTGTCGCTAACAAAGATTACAGAACCGCACTTAAGAGCAGCTATTTATTTCCTTGTCTATTTCCTCTCCGAGAAAAAAATTTTTTTTTCATGTACATTCCCAGCACATAGCACAGAACAGGGCACAAAGTAGGCACTCAAAAAGTTTTTGCTGACTGCATGTCGACTAATGCCTTATTATAAAAACACAGTCTCAAGATTTAATTATTTTTTAACGAACAGTGGGAGACTGAAAGATTAACATGATAGTTTTCTATATTTATAATTTCAAAATAATATATTCAAAACAAAGAGCACACAAATTAAAGACCACTCATTTGGGTAGGGAAATACTATTTTTACTAAAAACATTATCATAATTCAACAACGATAGGCATTATCAACCTAGAACAGAAATCAACAAAATACCCTGTTACTTTAAAAGAGGGAAAATGCTGCCTAAAACTCACTGGTACTATGCAAACAACCTTGTCAAATGGTAAAGACTTTAAAAATAAAAATGATTCATGACCATAATTAATGTATGACTTCAACTATTTGGCTCTCACTGCCCCAGACGCTTTCTGATCTTACCTTAGGGGCTTAAAACACACAGACAGAGTCACATTTCCTCCAATCTTCAGTGTTATCCAAATAGACTTCCAGAGCCCCTGCTACATCAAGACAGAGCTAATAACGTCCCCCTTTCAAACCCAACAGCAGAATAAAAGTTTGAAGTCTTTAGGCGTTTAGGCATAACATGGGACATCCTGATTCCCCTGAGCCTGAGGAGGTGAAAAATTAACAAGCAAAGAAACAACTGCTTTACCTCCAAACCAGCTAGCCAGTTTCAGAGGAATGTTTCTTAATTTTGCAGACTATGAAATGATACTGTACAGCAAGAAATATATTATCCCTAGTCATCTGGGTGACCGGTCAGTTACAACACTAACACCCTGAAGCTGAAATAAAACTCATCATCACTGGTGTGGGAAGGAGGGACCAAGTAGCTATTTGATAGGTATTCTGATTAGAGCATCCCTGTTACTTAATATGATTTGAGATAACAGTACAATTGAAACTGGGCTAAAAAATAATGCTTTGCAGTTAGGTATTGGTGTGACTGTAAAGATACATTGAATAAAAGGTATTATATCAAATAAATATTAAGAAACACTAAGACAATACCAATGAGATATTAACAATAATCTCAGTAAAAGAGAAATTAAAATTTTTGTCTATTTAGTGTTGATCTTATCACATCTGAAGTGCTGCATTCAATTTTAAGAGGAAAACTGGAACACATACAAAGGCAGTGATGTATAGGAGCCTATTGAGAAAAATAAAGGCTTTATTATTAATGACTCTGTATTCCTTATGAAAAAGCCTAGATTTTTATTCTGAAGGTATTCAATAATCATTAAAAAAGTTTTAGGCTGGGAAAAATTTAATTGCATTTACACTTTAAAAAGATCTTTCTTCCTGTAACAAGGTGACTGGGACACTGGGAAACACGACGATTGTAAACAGAAAGGCTAGTGTGAGGTTACTGCAACAGTCTTAGCAAACATTAGGCATTGTCCTAAATTAAACTAGTAACAGGGGGGACAGTGTAGATGTAAATGAATTTTTTTAAAAAAGACATGCCTAAAAATAAACTACCAATATCAAAAATGCAAAGAGGAGATATCACTACAGATTCCATAGACATTTAAAGGGAATCAAGGGAAAAGTATGAACAATGTGCCAATAAGTTCAACAACTTAGATGAAATAGCCAAACTGTAAAAGCTGCAAGTTTCTAAAGCTAACGTAATAGCTGTTATCAGTTAAAAGAACTACATTTGTAGTTAAAAACTTTCTTACATAGAAAACTCTAGATTCCAATGGCTTCACTGGTGAAACACTAGTCCTAACAAAATCTT